ACTTTGGAAACAAAGATCTCAATGGACTGGAAAAAAAAAAAAAAAGATGATCCTTGTGCAAGAGCATAATCTAACACATTGACTATAATCCACTACTATTGCTACTACTAACATGATGGCTTTAATGACTCGGATTCTCATCCAGAAGGTAGACTCCATTCACCTCACGACCACTCCCAACCGTCCTATTTGACTCTAGATCTTGTAAAACAGAATTACCTGGAAGGGAAGTCAATGAACAATTCAAATATCTTGTTAGCCTACTCACAAAAAGAAGATTAGTATAGAGTCTAGGGACATGTAAAGACAAAGGATAAAGTAATGTCATCAGTTAATCTAATTGTCCCTTTCCCAGCAATGGGAATATGGAAATCATCTACTGTAGAGACTTTGTCTCTACTAGAGCACAACTGGTAAGGACTAAAAAGGGTAGATATATTGTTCATGTGCTTAGATACTCCTCAGTCTATAATCCAAGGAGGTCCCTCCTTACCTGAGGTGGACGCATAATTTGCAACCGCATATGAACTACTTGTATGAGCAAAGAAAGTAGTGTATGTGGCTCCTGGACTCTATTGCCCATTTGGAGAACTAGAACTGGCTAAAACCTTCTTGCTCATAAAGAAAGTCGTGTCCATACTTCCAACAAGTGTTTCTGGTATGCTTAGTCTTCTTGCAATAGTCACACACCAAGTCCTTATCCTCCCTCCTAATCTCACTACTCCCCCTGTCTCCATTTGGCTTAGATTTGACTGTATTAATCATACCTGACTGGTCAATCCCAGACAGTCTCAACATGACATTTCCCCTGCTCCCCTCTCCAAATACGAAGGCATAAGCTTGAAAAGTCACACTTTCCCTAGAAAGGATGTGTTGCCTAGCAAATATCAAATTCAAGGTTCAGTCCAACCAAACTCAAAAACCCTATTCTTCTCCACCAATTTCTGATAGGTTATAACATCTTGCGTACTCTCCTAAATCGCAGTCTCCAAGTGATCTATCTCCTGCCAAAGTGTTTTCAGCATGGAGAAATACATAGCAAGTAGTCTATCTCCTTGTTTTGTATTAATCACTTGATTCCCTAACTGATAGGCTCTAGCTACATTTTTTTTTCTGGGAATAGGTTTTATTCACTCCACAAATCTCCTTTGTAGCATTAGCCCACAAAAAATTTTTACCGATGTGAGGTAACATAGAACTACACAGCCAAGACATCATCATGTAATTCTCGTGTACCCACCAGGAAGAATTTGTATTAGGTTTCTTCTCCTCCCTAGTGATGTACCCCAATTTCCCATGAACACCAATGGCAATCTTGTTTGATTGTGCTCATTCTAAATAATTGGTACCATCCAATTTTACTTTGGTTTCCAAACTCAAAATATCACTGGTACCTCCAACACCCAAACCCATTTTATTGATCGACTTTTGCCCAGTACTTCAACTCTCCATTTCAACTCCAAACAATTCAAAAACAAGAAATAACTAGGTAGAAAGCCTCCAAGATCAAATCAATCTCACATAACGGTAATAGACCTTTTCGGAAGAAGAAAAGCCTATTCGAAGAGAAATGCCTCTTCTCCCACCTCCCACCGGAGAGAAAAGTGAATCAATCACTCTAGAAGGCTCAAAAACTCTCAAAAACCAAATTGTCCCTATCTAAAACCTAGACAAGTCCAACAAGGTTCAATCGCCCAAAATAAAATAAAAAATGAAGAGTCCAACTTGGCTAGAACTCTTCCTCCACATTCCAGTTCTTCCTTATTTTGATGCCAAAACATAGATCACCCTCTTGATGACTGAAACCCACCAAAAAAATCCAAGAACTGGGCAGTCTAAAGTAGATCAATCAGCCCTTTATCTCCTCATGCAATCAGCTGATCTAGGACTGCATGGATGAACTCCAATTAACCCTAGTCTTGCTCTGATACCAAGCAGAAAACTATTGAATCAAAGAATCCATGAAGAGATGTTTCTTGATGAAGAAGAGAAAGAGAAGAGAAGAGATTGAGAAAGAAAAAGAGAGCAATCAGTTCTGGCCACCCTCCTCAATAGTATTTATAATTTTAATTAAATAAAGGTACAATAACTAATATGCTCTTATACGCCGGCTAACATATGAAACAGCATAAATAACTTAAAAGAACCACTCAAAGGGACCCAACAAGTGTGTTGTGGTCCCCACTTCCTACCTAAACAAATAATAAACAAAAACAACTACTAAATCTGCACAAATCTGTCCAAAAACCTCAATGGCAATAAATAAGTAAAACAATACAAACAACAAAAATTCCAATTATTTGAGTAAGACATGTAAAAAAACACAAAACTATCACTTATACTTCACATACAATTCAAAATATTATTAAACTCAATACCTAGTACATAAAATTTATATGGTTTCCAACAATAGGTGGGTCAAGGAGGGTTGGGTTTAGCCTAATACCATACCCGTACGAGTTGTAGAAACCCAAAACCAGTCCCCGCCCCAAAATCCGTCCTTCAAGCAAAAAAAGCTCACCTCATAAGGGTGGGTACCCACCGGGTAGGGTAGAAAATGTCATCCAATCACACATGCCCTCTTTCATCTTGAACGCAATCTTCCACTTGTCTCCTAGTCTAATGTGAATCTAATGGCACCCACTCTTGAAGTTTGGAGGCCGAGGTACTTTAGGTCAGCCATAGTGGAGAGCTACTAGCCGACTTGCCGAGATGATCTACTTGCAAGTGTCGAGGTGTCACTTGGAAACCACGTGTCATGATGTCATGCGAAGGACTAAATTACCCATCATCAATTGCCCCCACTCCCAAGTCAGTGTCAACCTGGCAAAGGGAGTAGCTCTCAATATGGTAATTGGTCTAGCTGGTTCGTAAGTCGCTCGGCTCGCCCACTTGATCCCACTTGAGAATAGGCGGGACGGCAGCAAAATTTGAATTTCAAAATATTGAAAAGGGGCGTCTTTAACCTTTCCAACATATCAAGCATATCATATAGTGATAGAACGGGAATTCTATACTTCACTATTATTTTGTTGATGGCGAGACTATTTACACACAAACGTCAATTGCAATCTTTATGGGGCATTAATAGTGTAGGTATAACAAATAGCCTCATGCTCTCCCTACTAGACTTTGTTCATGGGCCGGGTAGCCCGATGGCCCGGCCCGCACCCCGCTCAGACCATGGGAATTTAAATCAGGCCTAACACAGTAAGTCCGACTGTGTTTCGGGTTGGGCTCAGGATTTGTCAAAAAAGCCCGGCCCGAGCCCGGCCCGGCCCGATTCAGCATTATATATTTTATAAAATACATAATGTGTATTTTATATATTATATAATATATAAATAATATAATATTTATTGAAATATATATTTATAATTTCATATATACATTTTTTATTTTTTTCTTTATAATTTCTCTCTCTATTCAGCCACTTCAGCAATAGTAACAGCATGGGCTAAATTTTGGGCTCGGGCCCAAGCCCGGGCTTCAGGCTTTTTATGAGGACCAGGCTCAGGCCCAAGTTGTAGACCCGATGTTCGGGCCGGGCTCGGGCTCGGGCTCGGGTCTTAGAAAAATTTGTTAATACAGAGTGAAAGCCCGGTCCGAGCCCAGCCCAACCCATGAACAGGTCTAGTCCCTACAATATCTCATGCTCTTTGGGTCTTCGGTAGTGTGGCAAGTTAGGCAGGCTAGCACCAAGAATCAAATCAATATGATGTTGGATTTCCATCATGGGAGGTAATCCACTAGGAAGGTCATCAAGGATTGATATTTTGAATTCTTCCAGTTAAGTTTAGAGGGAACATTGGTAGGCCGTAGGCATCTCCTCATCCTCTTTAATCACCAAGGCTATACATCTCCCTTGCCTCTTTCACCTCATCTTCAAATGTAGAAGAAATTTGGAAGGACTTCCTCTCCACTTTAAAAGTTTTGGGTCTGTCTATATCTCTACGTCATACTACCAAGGTCTCCTAAAGAATAAAAGGCATTCATCAATATCAATATCATCACATACAACTTCAACTTAATATTTTCCAATCAATAGAAGGATGTGACATTGTTTAGTTACCTTAGTGTCATTTGTGCCCTCACTAGTAACTGTTACCTTAGTCTCATGGCAGCTAGTGTCATTCTTATGATTTTATATTTTACCAAGTTTCCTTTATTTTTAGATTTTTGCATCCTTTATAACATGATTGTTTTAATTTGCTTATATTTCAAACCTCTTTATTCCACCACCAATCTTTCTAACATGATTGTTACAAGCCACATACCAAATGTCTTTCCATCCACAGTCCATTTTCCTTCTATTATTGACTTGTCTATAAATTGTGCTAATCTTTCTCCTTTTAAATTGTCCCACCCAATTCTTGGACACCTATTTTCTTCCCTATTTCTCTTCAATTACCTAATGCACACATCTACCACCACTACTCTATCTTGTGTCGTTAAGCTTTCCCCAAGGATAACTTTGCAATCTTTACACATCATTCATTTTGCTCTCCTAGAAAAGAAAAATCTATTTGACATGTGTTTTCCACTTTTAAATTTTATTAAGTGTTCATCCTTCTATTGAATAAAAGTGTTTAAAATTGCCATAACTTCTAGCATTGTGTCTCCTATTTCATTCCTTTGCCCGAACCGAGATCCACCAAGCACCAATATCATATAAAGCACTTCTTTTCCCCACATGTCCATTTAGGTCTCCACATACAAAAATTATCTATTCATTTGAAGTTTCTTGGATTAATACTTCAAAGTTTTCACATAAATGTATTTTAATATTTTCTTCTAAACCCACTTAAGGTGCATAAGCACTAATTATGTCAATCATTTCATGACATAAAATAAGTCAAATTAAAATTATTCTATTGCCAATTCCTCTCACTTTACACTTTCATGAATAACATGTCAAATCAACAAAATCTAACCTTTAGAAACACAGACCAAAAAATATGAATCATCACAAATCAATAAAAGTATACAATTACAGATACCTTAAAGCCCACACCAAATCTCCCAATGTGATCATGGTCATCTCCATTTGGTTTCTTGTGACCAAATGAGACCATTCTCAGAATCTCCTCATGAGACATCCCATGGCCATCATCTACAATTGACAACATAGGTATCTCCTTCCCAAATAATTTTGAATATACAATGTCAATGGAAATGTCCAATCTACAAAATGCATCAACATTGCAAGTTATTACAAGCAAAAACTATATTTATACAACTAAGAAATATTTAAGATAAAGGTACTAAATGAGCAAAGAGTAAAACAAGTATCAACACAAATTCAAAGAATGATTGCACTGACAACTACATAAAGGCCTTTAGATCATATCTTGAAAAACTGAAAAGAAAGTAATAGATTAACATACTTTGTTGCTTTAGCATCCCTCGAATTGTCAACAAGCTCCGCTATTGCACCAAAAATCCATCCAGAATGAACTTGGCCAAGAGTTCTCAAGTAACTAGGGTCTACTCGTACAACATTTTTCTCCAAAGGAACATCTTGTTTTAATTGTATGGGTTGGGATCTGCTACAAGCTTCCTCCCTACATTCATAAACATTATGATTGCAAGTTGTTTGTGAAAACTTAAGATTAGGAGGATCCTTCACCATAGGGGCATTGGAACCTGCCATTTCCCCAAGGCTTGCAAATTTTCTATCCATATGATCCTGATTCACCTCCATGTTTTGAAATTTGTTATAAGCTTCCCTTCTAGATTCATGAGAATTATTACTACCAGGTGCTTGTGAAACCTTAAGATCAATAGGATGCTCTTCCATAGAGACATGGGGACCATTTTCCCTCACAAATGTACACTTTTTGTCAAGATGGTCATCGTGCTTCAATTCCATGGTTTGAGATCTGCCCCAAGATTGGCCCGCAACTGTCATAGGAATCTTAAAATTGGAAAGATGCTTCTTTACATGGCTATTGAAATGTCTAATATTTGCATCTGAGCTATCTCCAGATTCCTCAACAAATTGACGGCTTGATCTGGCAACCTCTCCAAATGGAATGGATTGTGTCGCATTTTTTGAGCAAGTACTTCTTACTAGCATCCTTTGCTTAGAATCCATTGAGGTTCTATCTGGAACAGAAAGATACTACAATATGATTAACAAAATCCACTCCACCAGTAACCCCTAATATGGTTGGTGAACAAAAATAAAATAAAAAGAAATAAACCTCTACAAATTTCTTTTTATTCATGTTTTGATTTGGGGTGTTCTTCTAATTAGTTGTCATTGAGCCTCTATATTAGGGTTGGATGTCTACAAATTCTTCTTTTTTCTCAAAAATCATATCATTTTTTGTTGCCAAGATAGAATATTTGGTATAAAAATTGAAATAGATAGCATGTAAATGTTGCAATAGAATTCTATGATGAATGACATCGGCATACTTATCGAGGACAAGGTTTAAAATGCCGATGTCAATGGAAATGTCGCTTACCAAAATATAGGACATGTGTCGGAAATGTTGAGGGGGAATATTGTAAAAACTAGAGACATTGTGGAAATATTGTGAAATATGTGGAAATATGCAATGATATTTTGTAAAATGATAAAAGAAGCATTAATACATATTTCTAGACTATTATCTTATTCCCAACCATTATATAAAGCTAAGAAACTAAGATCAATAACAAATTAGTAAATGACGACTTACTGATTTATTATGCATTTTGATGTTTTTACAAGGTTATCCGATATTTTCTTTTCTTATTTTTAATTCTGATTTATTATAAATTCCAATATATTTATTTCACACTAGTAAATAGAAATACATTTATTTCATTTTTTTAATATTAAAGTTATAATACATTATGTTTTATTATCAATTTAATAAACTGATTCTCCTTTTTGTAGTATTAACTATTAAGATTATGATAAATTCTGATTTCTTATAAAACTTAATGAATTTTTTATTATTTTTAATACTAAATTTATAATAAATTATGATTTAGTATAAAACTTAATATATTTTTTCTCATTTTTATAATAAATTTAATATATGATTTATTATATATTAATGTCTTAGGTAGTTCAAATTCGAGAACATGTGGTTTGGACATCCTCAAATTATGGATATTGTTCAGAGGAAATGGAACAGCTATAGGGTGCAGGATTTGACAGGTTATCATATAATAGAAAAAGCTTCAGATGTTAAAGGAAGATTTGAAAGCATGGAATAAAGGAAGGAAAGGGAGAGAAGTGAAGGAAACTTTAAGGCCCAAGCTGGAAAGGATGGTTCACTTTGAGGTGGTGGCATGGATGAAAAAGTCAAGGAAATTATAGTTAAGAGAGGGTGAAAAAACACTTCTTATTTTTAAGGTTCAGTGAGGGGAAGAACAAGGTAGAACAAAACATTATGGTTGGAAGCAGGTGATAGAAAAGTCGTGACCAAAGGACATTGTATAGGAGATATGGAGCTTCTATATGAATCTTTATAAATCTGCACAAGAAAGAATTCCTTCTTAGGTGAGTTGAAATTTAACAAAATTCTTGAAGGTTTAAGTAGTTGGTTAGAGAGGGAGTTTGAAGGGGAGGTATGGGGTGCAATGAAATTAATGAAAGCTCATAAGGTGCCAAGTCCTGATGGATTTAACCTATCTTTTACAAGCATTTCTGGAATATAGATAAAATTTGATGGCAATGTTTAAAGACTTATAGGCAGAGAAAAAAATTGAAATTTAAGCTAATGCAGCATTTATTACTTTAATTCCAAAGATGGAAGGGACTTGTAGAGTGAAGAAGTTCAGACCTATTAGTTTAACTTCAACTCCTTATAAAATAATAGCAAAGGTGTTATCTGCAAGGTTGAAGAAAGTATTGCACCTAGTGGGGCCCAACTCAAATGGCTTTTGTAGAAGGTAAATATTGGATGGGGTGTTAATTGAAAGAGAATATCTTGACTCTAAAAGTGGAAGTGGAGAGGAAGGGATATTGTAAAATTTATATGCAGAAGACCTATAACCATGTAGAATGGGGGCTTTTGGAGGAGGTCCTATGAAAATGAGTTCTGGCTTCTCTCTTTTACAATTCTGGTTAATGGGATTTCAACAGAATTTTTGTGATTCATCAAGGGGAATAAGACAAAATGATCCCTTGTCTCCAATGCTATTCGTGGTGGTAGACGTACCAAGTCTTTTCATCTTTTGAATGGAAAAGGGGCTGAATCAGGTCTCATTTTAGGTTTCAAGGTTGGAAGAGGAGATTTGAAAATCACACATCTTCAATAAACTGATGACACTTCAGTCCCTATGGATGCTTCATTGGAACAAGGATGAACATAAGAGCAATCCTAAAGTGTTTTAAGATGCTGGCAGGGGTTGAGAACTAACTTGAAAAAGTGTACAATCAGCCTAAAAGGAGTCATGAGATGTTACCTCCCATTAGAGTTAAGCAATTAAGCACAATCTATCCCTGACTTACAATTATAAGGAAAACCAAAACAGGTCACCCTTTGATACCCCTTGTTTATCCGAACAAACAGCCATGGCATTTGCCGATCTGCTTGCCCATTGAAGTAGAAATCACTAATTGCAGATTTAGTCAAGTTTCTTGTGAAAGGAAAGAGGGGGAAGATGAAGATTTCAGCAGTAGAGAAGAAAAGAGTAGGAAGTCAACTAGGATTGTAAAATTAACCCTAGCCGCCAACCTCTCACTATATTTATACTAACTTAAAGGATGAGATATTAAAAGGATGCCCTTAATAGGGCGGCTACTAATATAGTTGAACAGTCACAATTTAAAAAAACATAAACTAATGGGCCTAAAGCCCAACAACTTCCTAACTAAATAAAAAACAACTCGGACCAACTCAACACTCCCCCTCAAGTTGGGAGTAAATGTCACACATTCCCAACTTGCGTAGATCATGCTCCAGCTTGTTCTTTGCAACACCTTTTGTGTGAACATCAGCAAGTTGCAGATCAGAAGCAATGTATGGAAGACAAACTTCTCCAGAAGTTACCCTTTCTCTGATAAAATGTCTATCCACTTCAATGTGCTTAGTTTAGTCATGTTGGACTGGGTTATGGGCAAAGTTAATTGCTGCCTGGTTATCACAGTATAGCATCATAGGTTCTTCTGCCTGTACACCAATTTCTTCTAACAGGGAACGGATCCAAAGAAATTCTGAAACTCCATGTGCCATGGCCATGTATTCGGCTTCAGCACTTGATCTTGCCACCACTGTTTGTTTCTTATTCTTCCACGAGACAAGGTTACCCCCAACAAGGGTGCACACTCCTGAAATTGATCTCATGTCATCAAGGCATCCTGCCCAATCTGCATCTGTATAAGCCTCTAGTTTCAACTGTCCATGATCAGTAAACAATATGCCTCTGCCCGGGTGTCCCTTCAAATAAGCAAGAATCCTATAACATGCCTCCCAATGCCGGACTCGTGGAGCATGCATGTATTGACTTACTACACTTACTGCATAGGAAATGTCTGGTCTTGTAATAACAAGTATAGCAGTCGACCCACAAGTCTCTGATATCTCCCAATGTCCTTTACTGGTTCACCTTCTAATGCATTGATTTTATGGTTTTGATCAATAGGGATGTCGATTGCCTTTGTTCCAAGCTTCCCTATCTCTTGAAGAAGATCCAAGACATACTTCCTTTGAGAGATAAAAATTCCATGTTTTGATCTTGCAACTTCAATGCCTAAGAAGTATCTTAGTTTTCCAAGATCCTTAATTTCAAATTCTTTATGTAGGTTCCTTTTCAGACCATCAATCTCACTCAGATCATTCCCGGTGACAACAATATCATCCACATAACCAATTAGGACTGACACCAAAAATCCCCTTCGTTTCACAAACAAGGTGTGATCGGATTGAGTCTGAGTATAGCCAAAAGCAATCAAGGCCTTTCTGAATTTATCAAACCATGCTCTCGGAGATTGTTTCAAGCCATAAAGTGACTTCTTAAGCCTACATACCTTTCCCTTTACAATATCATTGTAAAAGCCAGTAGGAAGATCTATATACACTTCTTCTTGCAGATCCCCATTTAGGAAAGCATTCTTCACATCAAGTTGAAACAAGGGACAAGAGTATGAGGCAGCAAGAGAAAGAAGTATCTGAACAGAGGTCATCTTTGCAATTGGTGCAAAGGTCTCTAAGTAATCAATGCCATAGGTCTGTGTGTACCCTTTTGCAACAAGTCTTGCCTTGTACCTTTCTATACTTCCATTTTCCTTATATTTTACTGTGTAAACCCATCTGCATCCAACTGTCTCATTGCCTTCTAGTAGATCCACAATGTCTCATGTCTGATTCTTAATCAAAGCTGCCATCTCTTCCTGCATAGTTGTCTTCCACTCAGCTTTGGAGAGAGCCTCACTAACACCCTTGGGTATAGACACTAAATCAAGAGAGGAAAGAAAAGCACAGTAGGAAGGAGAAAGTCCATTGTAGTATAAGTACTGTGAAATACAATGGGCAGTACACTTTCTCTTCCCTTTCTGAGAGCAATAGGGAGATCAAGGTTATCTGTAACAGTGTTAGTAGAATCAATGGGAACTGAAACAGTAGCGGGACCAGGAGGAATACCTGAATTCATGTCAGTCGAATCTGGAGTCTCCAAGGAATCGAAAGGAAGTGATGTGAGTTCTGTTGTCGTGGAATCAACCTCCTTGTGAAGTCTCAGTCGTAAGTAATGCTGAGAAGCAGAACGCAAAGGAGGTGGCAAGGTAGGTGACACTGGGTGGTGGTCAAGTACAGGAGTAGACACAAGGACTGGAACTGGGAGAGGAATAGACTGTTGACTCACTTCCCCAAAACACTCCCCATGAGAAGGATTCTTTGAAAAGAAGTACGTGGATTCAAAAAAGGTGACATCCATGCTAACATACCGTCTCCCAGAGACTGGATCATAGCAACAGTACCCTTTCTGATTCTCAGCATATCCAAGGAAGACACACTTCTTTGCCTTGGGATCAAACTTCGAGCGGTGAGGACCAAGGATATGTGCAAAGCAAACACACCCAAATACCCTGAGAGGAATATGAAGCATCTCCCCCTGCGGAAAAAGGAGACTGAATGGGGTGCCGAATCCAAGTATACGAGAGGGCA